AAAGCCGGAAGTGGCGCTGTGGCTCAAGTGGTAGAGCTGAGGGACAGCGCCCAGGCCCAGAGTTCAGGCCCCACGACCAGACCAAAAAACAAAACAAAACAAAACAAAAAAACCAACACAAAGAAGATATACAGGTGATAAACACGATACATGTTTCACATCACCAGCCTTATAAAAATGCAGATTAAAACATTGCTGAAGCTGGGCCAAAGCCAGCCTGAGCAGAAAAGTCTCCGTGATACTCTTATCTCCCATTAATCACTCAAAAACTGAAAGTGGAGCTGTGGTTCAAAGTGGTAGAGTGCTAACCTTGAGCAAAAGAGCTCAGAGACAGTGCTCAGGCCCTAAGTTCAAGCCCTATGACTGACAAAAAAAACCTTTAATGAGATATCCCTGGCACACCTAACAGAATAGCTGAGTCAGTGGAGAAACCAAATCATACATGACTACACTCATACACTACTTTTGCTGATATAAAATGATATAGTAACCCCAGAAAAACAATTTCATAGCTTCTTCCAAAATAAAACATCCAGCTGCCATATGCCCAGCAATTATTACACTTCCAGAGATCTGAGAGTTATATTGACACAAAGGCACATAGACAAATGTTTATAGCATCTTCATTTATAATAGCCCCACCCAAACTGAATCAGCCTAGATCTCCTTCCACAGGAAATGGTACATACCATGGAATAATACTCAGCAACAAGAATGAATGACTAAACTGGCATAGTGATACATACCTGTAATCTCAGCATGTGGGAGGCTGAGCTAGGATCCAGGCTAGTCTGGGCTACATAGTGAGACCCTGTCTCTAAAACCGAATAAAATGGAAGTGGCGCTGTAGCTCAAGTGGTAGAGCACTAGCCTGGAGCTGAAAAGCTGAGGGACAGTGCCCAGGCCCAGAGTTCAGGCCCCACAACCGACAAAAACAAAACAAACAAAATAAAACCTAATAAAATGAATATACTAATGATACATACAATAGCTTGTGAGTTAAAAATAAGAGATGGGATGGAGGGAGAATGATAGAGGGAGACTGGAAAACATGAGAGGAAAATGTCACAATGAAATCATTCCTTTTTTTTTTTTGGTTGATTGTGGGGCTTGAACTCTGGGCCTGGGAGCTGTCCCTGAGCTCTCCAGCTCAAGGCTAGCACTCTACCACTTGACCCATAGTGCCACTTCCTGCTTTTTTGTGTGTATGTGGTACTGAGGAATCAAACCCCAGGCTTCATGTGTGCGAGGCAAGCATTCTACCACTAGGCCACTTTCTCAGCCCTGATTTTTTTCTTTTCAAGAACATTTTTGAAATGACAAGTTTCTAGAAAAACAAAGGACAGATTTATTAGTTGCCAGAGGCCAAGGATGGAGCATAAGGAAGACACAAGAGGTAGGAGTTTGATTAACCAAAGGCCATAAAAAGGACCCATGTACTATTGGAAGTAGTCAGTGTCTGGTAAGACCCTAGGTGATTAAACTTTGAGAAACATCAGTGGGGGCTGGGAAGGTGGCTCAGTGGTAGAGTGTTTGCCTTGCATGCATGAAACCCTGGGTTTGATTCACCACTTAAGCAAAAACAAAATACAAAAAACGGAAGTGGTGCTGTGGCACAAGTGGTAGAGCGCTAGCCTTGAGCTGAAGAGCGGAGGGACAGAACCCAGGCCCAGAGTTCAGGCCCCATCACCGACAAAAAAAGAAAAAAGAGAAAAATAAGAAAATATCATATCTACTAAATGCAACTTGACCAGCTACCACTGTCAGGCCTCTTTGTCTCCCAAGGCTATAAGGAAAAATACAATCATGTGCTGCGTGGAAAATGGGTAAAACGTTGGAAGAAAACAAAATAAAGGGTGGGAAGGTGGCTTAGTAGTAGAGTGCTTGCCTTGCATGCATGAGGCCCTGGGTTGGATTCCTCAGCACCACATAAGCAGAAAAAGTTGGAAGTGCTGTGGCTCAAGTGGTAGAGCGCTGGTTGCAATACTATGCTGTACCCTTACAAAACATTAACTTTTGAGGAAACTGATCAAGGTGTTCAAGGAATGTTTTATATCTAATAACTACTCTAATTCTAGTCATGATTTGATTTAGAAAAATCTAATATTTATGATAAACCATAACATGGTAGCATTTTTTTGGGGGGGTCCAGTCGTGGGGCCTGAACTCTGGGCCTGGGTGCTGTCCCTCAGCTCTTCAGCTCAAGGCTAGCACTCTACCACTTGAGCCACAGCGCCACTTCCTGCTTTTTTCTTTTTGCTTATGTGGTGCTGAGGAATAGAACCCAGAGCCTCAAGCATGCAAGGCCAGCACTCTACCACTGAGCCACCTTCCCAGCCCCAGCATTTGTTTTTATAGAGAGAACTGAGCTTGAGATTACTTGTCTACGATTACAGAGCTAATGAGAAAGTAGGCTGGGATTCAAATTCAGGTCTGTACAGCATCAAAGGCATGGACTTACCACAGCACTATCTTGAGATGACAACTGTCATTCTTTCTGCTAAAATGAAAGCAATAAAGAAACTTTTGCTTTAGCTTGGGAAGCCAGGAACTAGGCAAAGGAATCAAGACTACTATAAGAGTTTCATTCTAAGATTCCTACAAACAACTAGTTTTAAAGCTAAATATGAAATTGAGTAAATTGAAATTACTCACATCTGATTAGTAATATTAGTTTCAGAATAAGAAAAAAAAATCTTAAACCAAGTTTCAGCAAAATAACTTTATTTCCTAACACATGGTACACACGTACACCTCACCTGTGCTCCAATTGCACATCTGTTCACAAATGACTTCCAAACCACCCTGCCCCCACAGCTAAGATGTACTAAAAGTTACCTTAGTTGGCATATGTAAAATGCCTCTAGACAAAACATTCTGAATAGACTGGATTGGGTCACAGCAGAATTTGCATTAGTCAGATGAGTCTATAAATTTAAAGCTTTGAGAAGCTACTACTTTTACTTCTAATACTTCCAGATGAATAGGATGCAGAAAATCAGCTTGTACTCCAGAGAAATTGTATCAGTTTTTCTGGTGATGGAACCATTTATCCACTGTAACCAAACAACAGAAAAACAAATTAGAATCCCCATTACGAACCAAAATTGTCAACATATAAGTGCATTCATTTTAGTGGACCCTACTACAGAGAACTTAAAGCAAACTTACTTAAATGTAAAGCTGCACCCTAGCAAAATAGTTTTTGTCTGGGCCACAATGTTTTTATCTGGACTTCACTTTTCTTTGTCAGTACTGGAGCCTCAAGCTCTTGAGCAGCTTTTTCTCTCACAATTAGTGCTCTACAACTTGAGCCATGCCTCCAGTTCCAGCTTTTCTTCTGGTTAATTGAAGCTAAGAGTCTTGAGGATGTGTCTGTGTCTGCCTAAACTGTCTTCACACTTGTGAAAATTAAAAATGTGTCTGTGACTCTTATCACTGTTCCATAATACTGTGAAATATGTGAAATTTATGTAATCACCTAATCTCAATTAAAGAAAAAAAGTGAGAGAAGGGCTGGGTTAAGAGAGATGGATGACAATGTTGTCAGACACTTTGTACTCATATACTGTTTTGTAGAATGGGAACCTCTTTGTTTTGTTTTGGTCCATTGCAGGGCTTGAACCCTGGGCTTGGGAGCTGTCCCTGCGCTGTTCAGCTCTGTTCAGCTCAAGGTGAGCACTCTACCGCTTGAGCTACAACACCATTTCCGGTTTCCTAGTGGTTTATTGTTGATAAGAGTCTCATGGACTTTCCTGCCTGGGCTGGCTTTGAAACATGATCCTCAGATCTCAACCTCCTGAGTAGCTAGGATTATAGGTGTGAGCCACCAGTGCCCAGCTAGAATGGGAACTTTTTTGTATAACTACTTAAAGATTAAAAAAAAAAAAACCCTCAATGTTCAGATTTCAGCCTCCTGAGTAGCTAGGATTATAGGTGCAAGCTGCTGATGCAGGGCTCATCTTTCTTACATTAACTATAATGCAATTAAAAAAAATTTAAGTGACAGACTCCTTTCTTATCAGAAAAACAAAAAACAAAACAGAGATTCTTAAGATCTAAAGGGGGAGAAAGCTGTTTTATAGAGTATCTACCCAGACTTCAAACATTGTGGTTACTGCTTGGATCTCAGAGTGATAGGAAGTGGCACTGAATACAATCAATCTGGAATGTTTCTCTGTTCCTTCCTTTTCTCTCTCCATATATTACATGGTGTATCAAAATAAACACACATACGTAAGCATGGAGCATATTATGTCAAGTGACATAATTCAGGTACAAAAAGACACCTACACTTATTATATGTGGAACACTTGGACATATAAGAATAAACAATGGAAAAGTGCTCTTAAGGGTCTAGGGAGTAGGGACAGGTAGACCAGGAAAAGGGAGATGCTGATCAAAGGGTTCAAAGCTGCAATGAGACAGGAGGAATAAGCCTTATGGATTTTTAGTACACAGGATGCTGACTACATTAAATAGCAACACATTGTCCATTTCTTTTGTTAGTACTTTGAACTGAACTCAGGGCCTAGTGTGTAAGAGTCTCACATATTTTGTCTATTTCTTTGATGCAGGGGATTAAGCTCAGGACCCAAATACAATAAGCACAAGCTACATGCTCAGCTCCACTGCATATTTCAAAATGGCTAACACATTAGATTTTTAAAGTTCACTACACATAAAAAATGTGAAGTAACAGATTAGCCAGATTTAATCATTCTACATATTGAACATCTGTGAAAGCATCACATTGTACTCCATAAATATATCATTATTTTTCAGTTAAAAAAATTTTTTTTGTCAGTCATGGGATTTGAACTCTGGGCCTGCGCACTGTCCCTGAGCTCTTCAGCTCAAGGCTAGCACTCTACCACTTGAGCCACAACACGACTTGTGGTTTTCTGGTGGCTTACTGGAGATAAAGAATCTCACGGACTTTCCTGCCCAGGCTGGCTTTGAACTGCAATCCTCAGATCTCAGCCTCCTGAGTAGCTAGGATTACAGGCATGAGCCACTAGCACCCAGCTTCAGTTTAAAAAAATTTATATGCACATTTAAGTTTCCAAACAAGTCATTTCTAATGTAATTTTACTAGACTCTGGACTTACCATCTGTTGGTACTGTGCATGCAGATTCACATGGGGGTGGTAACTAAAATGTTAAAATATATTCATTAGTCCTAGGGCAAAAAAGCTAAAAGTATACTGGCACAATAAAGAGTCTAGCATTGTAGTACACTCCCATAATCCTAGAATTCAAAAGGCTACAACAGAAGAATAGAGAATTTGAGGCCAGCCTCAGCATCACAACAAGATGCTCTCTCAAAACAAAGAAGACTATCTGACTTTTTATGCTCTAAAAATAACTTACAACATATAGGAACAAGGAGGGTGTGCTCCACTGCTCAAAGATATTAACAACTTAAAAGTTTTTTACTTTTAAGAACCTATAGAATAATTACTACAATTTTTTGAAATAAAATATAAAAATTTATATAATGATTCCATATATACACAAATACAGACAGTTTTCTCATTGAAAAACTATGATAATTAACATTAGTTTTTCCCTTTCAGTTTTTCTTACTCATCTCAACTTTGTCAGGACACATATGTAAACAATGATGAATCTGAATGTACAAGGTTCACCAATAAAGTTGTCTTTTCCTATACTGCCCTACTTATAAGGCAGGAAAAAGTCAGAATTCACTCTGGGGTGCTCAAATCTTGCTTCATGCTGGGGCACATTCTTAGACCAAGATCATGTTCTTAGCTTCCTGCCAAAGCTGGACACACACACACACACACACACACACACACACACACACACACACACACACACACACACACTGAGATGTAGTCTTTTGGGCTTTTCTGCCTGGTCTCATCTAGAACTTCAATCTTCCCAATCTCAGCCTCCAATGTAGCTAAGATGCCATGCATATATATAGCACAGTACCCAGCTATTGATTGAGAGAGGCTTAGGGAACTTTTCTGCTCAAGCTGGACTCAAATCATGATCTCTTAATCTAGTTTTCCAAGTGGCTAGGGTTACAGGCATAAGCCACTGTCTCTGACTTCTGTTTTTAATGCTTACATGAAAATAATTTTTAGATGATCTAATTATATCTTTTGGTTAAGCCCAAATCAGAGAATTGTACAGAGACAAAACTGTTGCTCTTATAGACATTTTACTATTTCATATCAAAGTCTTTTCTAGTGTTATAAACCATTACTGCAATGGTACTCTAAAGTTGGTAATTTCCTCAGCTGTTTCAAGTACATTCCAATGGGTTCCCTTGTTGAAAACCCCTCAAAGTGGATAGACATTTGGGTCACTCAGTATATTCTAAAATCAATTTGACTTTTGACTTTTACAAATTATACGACTTTGTTTATGACTGATTGATCAGGGCCACTCAGCAGTTCCTCTTCTCAGTCTAGTGCCTACTTATATGTGCTACGTGTCCTAATTTCAATCCTTCATACAGAAATAGGAGGTACTCAAATATTTGTTGAAAGTACTTCCTCTCCCATCTAGCAGTGTATCTTCTAGCCATCCCATTCTCTCATTAAAGGAAATGAATACATACAGCATCCACAATGGCCTTGGCAGCATCAGGATCACACTTGAAGGGGCTCTCAGACACTGTTGTATTCATACTATGGAAAAAATCCCAAAGTGAGTGGTCATGACAAAACAACAACAACAACAACTACAAGTCTCTCTTTTTCTGTGTGTGCTAACTAGTATTGGTATTTGAATTCAGGGACTGGGTTCTCTCTCTTAGCTTTTTCACTTGGTTTTTTTTTTTTTTGGTGGTTAACAGGAGATAGTCTCATGGACTTCCTGCCTGAGCTGGCACTAACTGTGATCCTCAGAATTACCAACATAAGCCAACAGTGTCTGGCAAAAATGCTTTTCTCTTTTTAAAGAGAAAATGGTGGAACACGTGATCTTTAAGTTGGGATGAATTGAAAGCTTGTTCACCTATATTAAATGTTCGAATTGATTTTAGCAAGGTACATATATTCTTTTTTTTTTTTTTTGCCAGTTCTGAGGCTTGAACTCAGGACCTGGGCACTGTCCCTGAGCAATTTTGCTCAAGGCTAGCATTCTACCACTTGAGCCACAGCACCACTTCCAGCCTTTTCTGTTTATGTGGTACTGAGGAATCAAACCCAGGGCTTCATGCATGCTAGGCAAGCACTCTACCACTAAGCCACCTTCCCAGCCTAGTACATATATTTTTATGACTCAGCTATTCAACAGTTAGTTAGCAAGTTCAGATTTAAAAATCTGAGATCTCTCTGTAGTTCTCATTGAAAGAGCTGGGAAAGCAAATTAAAGTAAAAAACACATCTTTCCTAGTGGAAAAAAAAAAATCAAAGCAACCACCATAACAAATCCTGTCTCTATTAGTGCTGATCAAAGATTTGAAATATGTATTTCTGGCTGTAACTGGCTGCAACTGTAAATGGTTTGGCATTTCTGCAAAATAACTCAGCAAAATATATGCAAAAATCTTTAAAAACTTCATAGGCTTTGATAGGAAAATTCTGCCTCTAAGACCCCAAGATTGAAGCAACATCTATGAAAATATTCACCATATGCCTATTTCAAAAACTGGACATAATTCATTATAATCAATATACATAATTAAAATAATTTGAGGATATGGATGGGAATGAAAAAATGGGCAAGAATGATGGAAAGTGTAACATTAATCAAGATGCATTGTACTCATAATCTGATTTGTTGAACCGAAATCCTCTTGTACAACTACTTAAAATTAAAAAAAGAAATAAAAAAGAATCTTGGAAGAGAAGACAAAAGAAATTAGACATAATTAAAATGTCTAACAAGAGGAATGATTAAAACACTTTATCTAGGGCTGGGAGTGTAGCTAGTGTGATAGACTAATTGCCCAGCAATGCACAAAGCCCCAGAAATTAGACATAACTAAAATATCCAACAAGAAGGAATGAATAAAAATACTTTATCTAGGGCTGGGAGTGTGGCTTATGTGGTAGAGTACCTGCCAAGCAATGCACAGGCCCCAGGTTCAATCTCTAGTACTCAAAAACAAAATGGAACAACAACAACAACAAAAATCAATGAATCAAGTCATACACAGAATGGAATGTTATGTAACATTATTATGGAGAGATGCTTATAATACAATGTTAAATTAAAAAAACATAAATTGTGCATAACATAATCCTAAAAAGAGGTAGGAGCTGAGAATGTAGCTTAATGGTAGAGTGCTTGCCTAGCATGCATGAAGCCCTGGGTTTGATTCCTCAGTACCACATAAACAGAAAAAAAGGGTCTTAGGGCTTTGCACATGACAGACAAATCCTGTACCACTGAGTTTATCCCAGGTCCTAACCACTTTGTGGTGTACTTGTATTTGAACTTGGACCTTACACTTGCTAGGCAAGTACTCTACAATTTGAACCAAACCTCCACTTTCAGCTTTTTGCTGGTTACTTGGAGATAAGAGTCTTAAAATCCTCAGATTCAACTACCTGAGAAACTAGGATTATATATAGGTAGGACTACAAACACCTGGAACTTAGCTATTATTATTTTGCCAGTCCTGGGGCTTGAACTCAGGGCCAGGGCACTGTCCCTGAGCTTCTTTTCCTCAAAGCTAGTGCTCTACCACTTGAGTCGCAGTGCCACTTCGAACTTTTTCTGTTTATGTGGTACTGAGGAATAAAACCCAGGTCTTCATACATGCTAGGCAAGCACTCTACCAATAAGCCACATTCCCAGCCCATAGCTATTAAATTATTTATATCAAGAATAGCATCCTGAAGCTCAGAGCCTTTCCCAATTATTCTCACATAGCTCTCACTCACTTGATGGCTTTGGTCTGTACTTATTCAGTGTCTTACAGGCGTTTTTAAGTTGTTTATGTATTTCCCTTCCCATTTACTTGAGCACTAGGTGACAAATCAGTTCTTTTCTAAGCAAGAGTAATAGTATATAGCATTTTGTGGTTGCTAAAACCTTTGATGCAAACAGATCTGTTCTATGTGTTAAACACAGAGAAACATTACAACTTACCAACTGATTCCTTTTCCATCTGTTTTCTTAGTCACTAATGCTTTCCAATAGTCATGAGTGCTTTTAATAATATCAACTGCAAAGGCCTATAATTTGAAGAGAGAGGCATTACAATGATAGATAAGTGATGTTTTTCTACTATCAATATTTCCATAAAGTCTGATACTTTGTCTCTTTTCAATCACTTCCTTAAAAATAGGAGAGAACATTTTTTTTTCCTTTTTTCTTTTTGCCACTCTGGGGCTTGAACTCAGGGCCTGAGTTCAAGGCTAGCACTCTACCACTTTAGCTACAGCATCAATCCTTGATTTATTTATTTTTTTGGTCGGTTGTAGAGCCTGAACTCTGGGGCCTCAGCCCTTCAAGCTCAAGGCTAGCACTCTACCCACTTGAGTCACAGCACCACTTCTGGTTTTTCTGCTTATGTGGTGCTGAGGAATCAAACCCAAGGCCTCATGCATGCAAGGCAAGCACTCTACCACTAAGCTACATTCCCAGCCTGAGAACTTCTTTTTTTTTTTGGTGCATTGGTCGTGGGGCTTGAACTCCGGGGTTGGACTCTGTCCCTGAGCTCTTCAGCTCAAGGCAAGCTCTCTACCACTTGAACCACAGTATCACTTCTGGTTTTCTGAGTGGTTTATTGGAGAAAAGAGTCTCACAGACTTTCCGGCCTGGACTGGCTTTGAATGGTGATCCTCAGATCTCAGCCTTTTGAGTAGCTAGGATTATAGGCATGAGCCACGGGCACCCAGCTATGAGAACATTTTTTTAAAGACAAGAATTTCATTATGTAGCCCAGGCTATCTTCAAACTTCTGATCCTCCTGCCTTTGGTTCCCAAATATTGGGATTACAGTAGTATATATCAAACACAGTAAGGACATTTAAATAAATAAGCATCTATAGAATTTTATGAACTTTGATGGGAATATGGTCAAATTTTAAGTATTAACACATAGTTCTATATGATATATTACCTTATCTTTAAATTCTGCATTGAAAGCAAACTCATTTTCTGGTTTTCCATCTGGAACCTTGTACCTTCTAAACCAGTCCACAGTCGCTTCTAGATATCCAGGTTTCAGCCGTTCAACATCACTAATATCTAAGGAAAGAACAAACACATTACCTGTTATGTAAGTAATTATTTATGCATCGAGAAAGCTATACATTGGATCAACAAAAGGTTCAAGATAATATTGGAGCTGACCTGCTTGTTGAAAAGAGAATCCCATGTAAGAAAAAGAAATCATCTAGTGTGTCAGACTAATTCTGACATTAAATATGAGAGGAGCAGATTAGTATGACAGTAACTGCTATTAGGGTAACTGTAAGGAGAAATGAAATAATTGAGGTGAAATAATGAAATTAGTTTGGTAAGCGTGGATAATTCCTATAAGAAGAGTATAAAATACTAATGAAGCCAAGTAGAAACTATTTCAGAGAACCACATGCCAATTACATACTAATGGACAGGAAAACATACTAGCTGGGTGCCAGTGCCTCATCCTTACAATACTAACTACTAGACAGCTGAGATCTGAGGACTGAAGTTTATAGCCAGAAAAGGCAGAAAAGTTTATGAGAGTCCATCTCCAATTAACTAGCAAAAAGTTATGCTGGAGGTATGGTTCAAATGTTAGGAATACAAGGCTTGAGCAAGCAAACCAAGTGAGAGTGTAAGGTCTTGAATTCAAGCCATAGTATTAGTACAAAGGGAAAAAAATAGATGAGGCAATACCCGTCGGCTTCAAGTTTTATTTTATTTTTATTGTCCTGGGTATAAAATGGAGGGTCTTGTCCATGCTATTGAAGCACTTTACCACTGAGCTACATCCTCAGTCATGGGTAACATTTTTTTTATTTTTAAAAAATTTTTTATTATAAGGATACTATACAGAGGGTTACAGTTACATGAGCAAGGTAATGAGTACACTTCCTATTGAGCATTGTTACCCCCTCCATTGTTTTCCCCCTACCATCCCTTCCTTCCCTACCTTCCCCGAGGTTCTTTTTTTTTTTAATTGTGGTTAAGTGATTACATAATTTCCCAAATTTCACAGTATTGTGGAATAATGATGCTCATTTAAAGTCACAAGTTCATTCTAACTTTCCTGGAGCAAATTGTCTATCACAGTCTATAACATATAACAGTGTACACTATACACCATATATGTGATCAGCAGCATGGGGATATTTAGTAGTGGTTCGACCAGATGAGTGGGAATTCTTTGTTTCTTAAGTCCTGTTAATTTTGCCGTTTCACCTAACATTTTGGATTTAGCATCCACTTATCAGGGAAACGATGTAAACGATGTACCGTTTGTCTCTTTGCTCTTGGCTTACCTTGCTCAACATGATTCCTTCTAGCTCCATCCATTTCCCTGCGAATGCCATTATTTTGTCATTTCTAATGGCTGCATAATATTCCATTGTGTATAG